GTATTGAAAGAAATTGCCCGTCAGTCTGCAGCTTGAAAAGAAGAAAGATATCATTGCGTTTCTACTTAGAACTTGTTGTAATTATTTTGAAACAAGTGGTCTGTTTATGTTGTTAATTCACTTCACAGATTTTTCATATTTTAGAAGAAAAAATAAAGAGTTTAAACATGAATCATAAAATTGTAGCTAAGAACAGTTTAAAAAGTTGTTTAAACGTTACATGCATGTAACCTTTCAGAATTTCCAAAAAAAGTGGGCTTTTAGTTTGAGAATGAAAAGTTTAAGCGCAGAATACGGTGGTTAAATACGGAAAATATATTTCGGGGAAAAAATACAGAAAATATATTTCGGAAAAAAAACTGTTATGATAGACTTTGTAGTACAATGTATATATTTTAGAAATCTCTTTGATGTGAAAACAGTGTCAGGAAAAATACCTAGACTCCGTGTGATCAACCGCGTTAATCTTTTAGCGCAACCTGCCAAAACCGCGCTAAACAGATCCGTGCAATTCCGAGAATGTCATTCTCACACAGAAGCAGATATCACGTATCACCGGTAACGAATGCTATGTTTACGCGCCAAAAAATTGAGATGAGTGATTGTTTAATGTTTCTCTACTAATTACACGAGCCATACGACAATTCCAGAAACGGAAGGTATCAATTTTATAAAATAAGACGCATTTTGTATCAACATCGTAGAAAAATTGTAGTTTTTTTTATCTTTTACTGCATAATGGTGCAATTCGTATAATATAGAGAACATTTTATGCACCTCTCGTTGCCTTTGCATAAACTGTTACGTCGCATTCTCGAATATACCTGTTCTTACATATTTATTCTTAATGTATGTTGTTTAATTATTATTTCAATATTCAATATATTATTTTTAATAACTAAACACATAAAAATTGATTGAATATAATGGATATGTGATTAGGCAATTGAGTATGCAGTAGAAGGAAGGAAGGAAGAAAGGAAGGAAGGAAGGAAGGAAGGAAGGAAGGAAGGAAGGAAGGAAGGAAGGAAGGAAGGAAGGAAGGAAGGAAGGAAGGAAGGAAGGAAGGAAGGAAGGAAGGAAGGAAGGAAGGAAAGAAGGAAGGAAGGAAGGAAGGAAGGAAGGAAGGAAAGAAGGAAGGGAGGAAGGAAGGAAGTAAGTAAGTAAGTAAGTAAGTAAGGAAGGATCGATCGATCGAACGAACGAACGAACGAACGAATGAATGAATAATGAATGAATAAATAATGAACAAACGAACGAACGAACGAATTAACGAACAAACGATAGAATGTATGAATGAATGCGTTCAAGAATTGTATAAAAGATAAAAAGAAAAATCATGTATTTGTTCACACCCAATTTAGATCATATGGAGCGTTATAATATGTTATCTTTTTGTTGTTTTGTCATATATTTCTTATCTCCATTGAACTCTCTTTAATAAAATCACTACCGCCCGTGAAGCTTGTAACAGCGTGCAATTTATGGGTAAATAAAGTCACTGCTAACCATATCAGAGTCATATAATATAACGCCTCATTGAACTGCCTTTAATTCATTATGCAACTTAATGATTTACACCTTGTTATCAAACAAAGTCATAAACATGCTGCCTGATAAAGTCTTCCAGAAAAAAAAGAGGAAAGAAGATTCATTGATGTGAGCCTGATCTGAGAAAAGGTCGAGATTCCATGTTCAAAATTGTTATAGCTTATTTTTTTCATTTAAATAAAATTATAAATTCATTTTATAGATAACATAAACTGTTATTGTATATTTATTTATAAGCGTATTCATTTATATAAAATATTAATACGATAACAAATATGTTCATTATTTTAATTGTTAACTCTGAATAAAATCCTTATTTCGACACAGAGATCTATTTTACGTAGCGTAATGATAACCATGTAGTAGACCAATTTACCACCTACTGGGCGTATACATTCGGCTATTGGCAAATGGCAATTTGTCAAGTTTTACGACATTGTAAGATTGACCGTTTGAGGAACGCACTTTTTAAGTTGAAATCTACACAATACAGACTATTATCTTCTGTTTAGATGCAAACAAGTATCTAAATGAATAAGTGATCGAGCTTAAGGTCCCTGGGGGAATAGAACTATCGTCAAACTTGCAAATTGTTGATTTTCAGAGCTCCGGGCGAACGTTTGTAACACATAGATAAAATTGTTATTTCTGCGATGAGCCGCACGTTAAGGAATGTTTAAAAGTATCTAACGCAAGTCATTAAATTTTTATTGATCACATTAGCAGAGACACTTAATTTGATAGTTATGTGTCTTTTTTCTTCTTATAAACAGATTTAAAAAGAGCCGCAAAGACATACACAATTTAATTGTTGTTATATTCTAAATCGTTATTGCATTTTTAAAGACTTAAATAAACTAATCAAGGCTGTGTAAGTGAACTAGTTAGCGACGCAAAAATCGCGTTGTTTTAGAACGGTTTAAACGTTATTTTAATTCGATTAACACTGGAATAACGACACATTACATATTAATGTTTATTAAAATATTTACCATAGTTATTTGTAAATTGTCAAACACATGCCATTATATAAAAATATTTACCTTACTTTTACTTACTTAAGTCAGAATTCTTTTATTGACGCTTCAGGTATCAAATCACGTATTCTTTTATATTTTTTTTTTCATTTATTTAATATGTGTAGTCTTAAAAAGTTCAAATTATAAACAAATGGCCTGGCTTGAAATTATATATTCTTTACATTTACTTTCAATATAATATGTACATGTATATAATAAAATACATGTGGTAGATTGAGTTACCAAAGAATGTAAAATAACATTTAATAATTTTAATCAGAACTCTTGCAATCATGGAGAAACATTTTTCTTTATTCATTTAATTTTCTTGAAGAATATTTGACTATTTTACGTCGTACTACCCCTTGTAAGGACAGAACAATTTTCTTTTCTAATGCCATTAACATGCTTCGGAACAACCCTTAACCAGCTTGAACCGGAAGCGACCAGCCTGTGCCACCAGCTATAGACCAATGATAGCCTGCACGTCCGTGTAGTCTGACCAGACTCTTTAATGCTGGTAGGTCCCTAATATTGACTTTTTTCATAATTAAAATGCAGGGTAAATTCCATTTAACCTTTATATTTGACTTTTTTTAATCAAAGTCATAGCAAATTCAATATATATTTAGCAGAGTAAATAAAACGTTAAATGTTAGCAACAAATATGATTTCACGTGATATTCCTTTATTAATAGTAATATTCTTATTTTACCGTCCCTGCTGTTTTTTTAATATTAAAAGAAAATACGTTCATTGTAAAAATGTACCATCTATAAGTGGTATAAGCTACACATAAAGAATATAACAACAATGTATAGTTAAATATAATCCTCAACAGACACAATATATTATTTTCGCTCGTATTAATTTTGAAGATTTCTTAAAGATCACTTAGGGACAGATTACACACACTCCGTCATTAAATGGATCATTTCTCTTTTCAAACGCCGGGTGATCATAAATTATCTCTGCCTTCCTAATATGATTTGTAACAATTTTCGGTTTCGTGAAATTCATTTTGAGAGACAAATAAAACGGCTAATAAATATGTCTTTAAACTCGATAGCTAGATTGATTCTCTGTCGAAACAGGAAACTGTTTCACACCTTTCCAAAAACCTCTCAAAATCTAATGCATACTTCATTTTCTTCTTCTACGAGTTTAAAAGAAGGGTATGAATTCTTCCTTTGAGATATCTGAATGTTAAAAACTAAAACGTATATTTTGAAATTTTTGCTTTCAATTAAACAAGAAAAAATTAATAAAGATTCCTTACTAGGTTTTTCAATGAAACTTTCTTGTGTATGTGTTTTTTTTATTCTAAGTATTGAAAATTATTTGTCTACTTAATGCAAATATATGTTTCCAAAAAAAAAAGAACAATGTACATTCGATTAGTTATTTTAATAAGAATTATTCTAGGTAATGAATTTTGATATAATTTATTAACATTAAAGGCATGTATATGTATATTTAAAGATATAAATTTTATCCATTTTTTTGTAAGCAAATGACTTAAATCATTAATATTAACATATCAAACATATTTTAAACATGTTTTTGCGCTAAAATAAACTTTGTGACATGAAAATGATGTATATTTTGATATCTTTATATTTATTGCATTTTACTTATGATATGTTTGTTATTTAATTATTTAGTTAAAATTGTTCTTGAAAATAATTAATCAATTTCAATTGTGTTATATATTGGTGTTCACATAGTACACAATATATTATATAACTTTCTTACTAACATTTTCTACAGGTAATATTTAAAAGGAATTTATTCTACAGATTGTAAAATATATTGGCGCCAATATATTTATAGAACAAAATATTCTAGATTCATATTTCAATTTGGCATATCTTTAATAAATTTTAATATTATTCATTTCGCTATGTATACATACAAAATATATGTTTGCACAAATTGGAATCGTTTTGTAATGCAGATATGAGCAACATGTATAATAAATTCTAGAAATTGTTTTACTTATTCAATGTATACTTTTTTCTTTATATTATTAATACTTGTATATGAATTATTTTGTTGCATTTAAATATCAAAATGAAACTATACGATGTTAATTGTTTTATTTAATTTTGATAACAAAACATTATCTTATGTAATTTCAATGAAATGATTTTCAATATCACCAAATATATCGTTTTTCATATTATTAATTTAAGAATCTTTTTTTATAAAGTTATTATTATCATTAGCATTCCCAAAGATTAATGTTTTAGTATTCATTTTTATAAATCTGTTACGAATTTATGTTGAATGAGTGGTACAATTTATTAATAACGTGACAAATTCAAAAATCAGATTATTTCATTAATTTGCAAACTGGTATTATATTGGAAATATATTTTGAATTTTATATTATATGAATACATGATACAGCTATAGTGCAATTCTTACCGGCCGCTTCGGACGTTTCAAGTCCTTGGAAAGTTTTGTTCGCCATTTCCATCAGCGCATCAAGAGGTGATACATCTTTCAGACTTAACGAGGTTCCCGACGGTTCCTCTTCGTCGTCGTCAACATTTATTTCCTCTTCGTCCGCCTCCGACGAAGCCTCGGAATTTCTACCGGGAGTCGGTGAAGCATCCCACGGTCGTACAATCCGCGAAGACGCCGCCAGACCAACTTGCGGATTGCTTGGTTGATTTGTTCTATGTTTATGGTGACCATGTCTCGGCACGGGCGTTCGGGTAGTTCTAGAATTGTCATGTTTTGAAAGTGAATGACGTGAATGAACATTGCTGAGATTCTTCTCTGAAGAGTTTTTATTTGAATGTCGCGGATTTTGATGATGAACACTTGATTTACAACCATTAGTTGGACTTAAAATATCATTTATTCCAAAAGATGTGAAAGGTTTGTTCGGGTTCCGTGGTGGCTGAACTTGCACCATAGACAATTTTCGCAAAGGTTCATACTTATCGCTGCAATAACTGCTGCCGTCGTGTCCGCCGTTCGCCGTCGTCATCATGCGAAAATCCCACGGCGGCGGTAATATACGCAGCATTGGTAACGTGATTGGGTGGCGGAAATCCAGCTTTGTTTCCAACGCCTTCGTTTAAAGGTGGTCAATAAAACATAAAAAATTATTCCGTCCCAACTATCTATACACACTGGACGCAGTCTTTAAATCCAAATATCCAAAATGTTTTGGCTCCGCGATTCTTTTCCGCACTTGTTTTTTTAAGAATTTGTTTCACTCCACTCTTGAAAAATTGCACAGAAGATAAATTTGTTTAGAAATTTGTTTTCAAATAAAGTAATCAGTAACTCATCCAAATCATTAGTACCTGTCAATATGGAACGTGTTTTCGTTATGTACAACAATCACCTTCAGTGACAACTGATTGATGTCCAATGCGGTTACGACCCTCGCCGGCCCCCGGGATGTATACATGTAATGCTCATTATCTGCTCAACACATCCAAAATATTTCTAACTATCACCAATCACTAATATATCTTCAGTTATTGACAGCAACTTGTCAAAGGTGTTGACAAAATTATTTTCCAAATTCGCCTAGGTATCATAAAAGTCAATTATAACGTATCCTTAGCTAATACCACCGTATAAATATGTCCATTTCTTAATTATGTCCAGCTTTGAATGAAAAAGGTAGTTTCACTTTGGCACAACTCTGCGGAAAAAAATAACATAAATTTATTTCGTTTACTTTTTGCGAGTTTGTCAAGTCAAAACGAACTAAAATCAAAAGATTTGACTCACTAATAAGCTTATTCTAAATTGACAACATTTTGTATTTGTTGTTGTACTTTGATGTATGGCGAGAGTATATAGAACAAACTCTCTCAGACTTGAACTTTCACCTCGTTCCTAATCGTCTTACAAGTTAGTGGGCGGAGTCACAGACAATGCCTAACCAATCGGATTTCTCAGCGAGACGAAACCGCGCTTCCCCGTGGAGATATTTTACAGTACATTATGTTGTAATTAACCGGCTCAGAATCTGAAAATTGCGAAGCCATAAAATCTTGAAAATGTGTTGGACATTAAAACAAATCATCGGCATCGTTTCAAAATGGTTAAATTAATTATCTGTAGTGTTCAAGAGATCTATTAATTCTTCGGCATTTTCTCTGCTAATTGAGACACAACGTGGATCAGGGGAAACAGTGAAAAATGAAACTCATAAATTTAAAAGACAAAAGAAGAAAATAAATATTTACCTTTAGATGTTAGTTCTTTTCTATCTGTCTTTTTCAGTGATAAGATTTTTTTCAATAAATATTTTGTTAAGACTTTGTTGGATGTTTGAGCGCTAACACGAAAAACACAGTATATTCCGGTGCGTATTCTAAAATATATTATTATATTTTTCTTGACTGGAAAACAAGAATGAATTTTAATGCATTATTTAAATTCAACAAGAACTCTTTTTTATAAAAATAAAAATAATAAAATGTGTCCGAAGGGAACAAGCATACTTGCACGTCATAAAATGTCAAGCGGTGGAACATGTCCACTACATGTTAACTTGTTATTATTAAGAAATAAAATTGTCTCTTTCTACATCGCCCTGCCAATCAAAAGTTTATTGCGACATAAAATTCAATATTTTTATAACTTTGGTGAGATAGTATCATCATTATACCAACAATTGTCACATTTTTGTAAGATTTCAATAGCCGTATAATTCATTTACATTTTTCATGGGAAAAGATAAAATTCGCATCGGCGAATCAGAAGTGCGGTTCCGTTAACGCAAAGTTATTTAGCAAACTATCTGATAACACTTATAATATATAATGTAAACTTTATTATATATTCTCTTGTGAAAAGAGGGAAACAAGAATTTTAAATGTATTTATTCAATAACTACAGGAATAATGTCAAGTTTTTCTTCAAAAGGACCGCATAATGGGCATTTAGCCGATTTATATTGCATCCTTATTACAGGGTTTCTAAATCCACTTTTATTGACAAAAAAGGAAAACGTTTTGATGTTTTTATTTTGATCTATACCTAGTATTTCCGCATTACTTCCAAATCATTTCGTTTAACAAGGAGCGCGTGTACGAAATTGCGAGATTTGCGATTTTTGTTTTCGTAACCAATTTACTTCAAGACAACTGCTGTTTAAATGTACATTTCAGATGATTCGCCGGACCATAGATCACGCTTAAACATCCTTTAATGAATAATTTAATAACAGTGCTATTTTTTACTTTCATAAATGACAGATTAGCTTCAAAATAAAGGCAGTTTAATGTCCTTACATCTCAAACATATCATGTTTTTAAATGACCGCGTCTGAGTCTCACATTTTCGGATAATTAATAGATGTAACATTGCTCTCTTTATCAATATACTCTAATTTGACCATAAGTAACCGGCAGTTTGGGGGACAAGATTTATTTCTGTAACTTTATATGATTGAGGGGTGACAGTGTTAGAATTTACATAGAGAAGTCAATTAAGATAAGTTTATAGTTCAAAGTGCGCGGACCTATCATTATTTTACTATGCGGCAATTGTATAATTAATTTTAAGAAATGTTTGATGTCAGGGAAGGAAACATCGTGTTAACAAGCTCTGAATTAATAGTTTTGTATCTTTTTATGTTTTGAAACACTAAAATCATTTTTTGTAAAGAAAAAAATCTATCTAAGATACATGCGTGAGGTGAAAATGCAATTTTTATATTTATTTGAATGTAAAATAATTAATAAGACACGAAAAAAGTAATTATTTGTTATCTAATTAATGAACATACTTAAAAATATTAATTTAATAACATAATAGATATTCAGAGACAAGAAAATCTATGGAAACTATTGACTCGTAAAAGACAATATTCCTATAAATAATTTATGTCAATTTTAATAAAATAAATATATAATTTTACAATATTTTTCTATTTCATTTCATATTTAAATTTAAATTCTAAGAGGCAATAAGTGTGCGTATTGCCCTTTAAATGAGCATGACAAATATTTTACATTAATGTATAGTTTAAATACTTATTTAGTAAGTAAGAATTAAAAATTTAATTAAAACAAAAAACATTTTGTATTAAAATTTGATTATGATTTCTGTAAAACTTCGTTTTTATAATGCATACAACATATTTAGAAATGTCTTAACTCATTTCAAATAAAGTCTGTGCAAAAATTCATATAGACAGGCGGACAATTCACTTCGTGCAAATATGGCTTTAGTCCATGATGGCATGTCAACATCATAATACATGGTAACAAACGGTGCATATGTCCATATACAAACAGAAATAACATCACATGATCACTTTATATGATATATCATGGCGACTGATGGTCAAGTCTTCTTGAAACATGCCGCCATCATAATTATAGCTAAATATTGACTGTAAAATATTATGGCATCGAAAGACGCAGTGACCACTTTAACTAAGATAATTTCAAACATTGTGTATTAATATGCGACGCAGTTTTTGTTTGTTTGTTGTTGTTGTTGATGCAATTCTATTATTTATTATTATTATTATTATTATTTATTATTATTATTATTATTATTATTATTATTATTATTATTATTAATATTATTATTATTATTAATATTATTAATATTATTAATATTATTATTATTATTATTATTATTATTATTATTATAATTATTATTATTATTATTATTATTATTATTATTATGCTGTATATCAGACTGTTGAAAATTGAACAATAAACAAACGCTTGTATTTGTTTAACGGTTGGTCTCTCCTTGGACGCTTATGCGGTTGGTCTTCTCTTGGACGCTTATGGAATATTATACAACTTTATAGATATTTCTTAACCCCTACCTCATGCTGTTAAAAGTTACACTTTTTATCTTCTTAGTAGAAATAACGCGTTAGGACGTTTATCCCTTTAATCAATTTGAACGATCGTTCCGAATTAAAACGAAGAAAGTCTGTAAAATGTTCCCCGGGGGATTTAAAAACTTCCGTAAATATTTGGTAACTAGATTCTGCGTGGTACTAATACAATATACCGGTAAATTTGTTGAAGGTCTTATTTCGACATACAAAATGAAATTGTGCATTACAGAAGATACGTATATAAAGAAATGACAAATTTCATTGATAGAAGAACTGAAACTTCTGAAACACACAATAAAAAAGGAAAGAAAAACGAAATAAATAAAACAGAAGACCAACATCTACAACAAAGACAACAAACAAACAAAAATAAAATCAACAACAAAAATATTGTACGCAATCACATATTTACATTAGAAAAACAATATTACAAATTTTAAAGTAGGGAGGGTCATAAGAACGCTCTCATTTTTACATTTGATATAATTTCTGTTAAGATTGAATAATTATTCAAAAGATATGGTAATTCAATTATGAACGAATAATACTTTAATACTGCTATTCATTTCAAAATGATGCATAAATATCTAAATATCCTGATCGATATGAAGGGAAGGTATATCTTAAATTAACATAATCATATAAGCATAATTATATAACCAGAATTATATTATTATATAATTGTGCGGTATGCAGCGAAAAGGACATCAATACTAAGCGATTGTATCATTTTTCATGCGATTGTTGGAGATAAAAACACCCACAAATAAATCGGTGTAACATCTGTACTTTATTGACATACACTACACAAATAATAACAAAATACATGTTTATTCCTTTGTAACATGTTTATCTTATATATCTTTTTGTCAGTTTTGATATAGGCAGAATTTAAACTTTTTCATAGATCTTTAAACTTTGGATGATTTTAGAATATGATGACGGAAACGTTTTAAGCAAATAAAAAATTGGGTATCATTTTACTTTTGAATTATCTGCCCTTGGATCTGAATTATTTACTTACTTGAGGTCATTTCTAACCAGGTATCTTATATACATTCATCTACAAAATCTTGTTTTTACTTTTGGATACTGCTTTTTCGTTTTATTTTGTTGATCAAAAAATATTATAACATACCATTCCACAATTCATATCTGTTACAAATTTTCAGTTAAGGAACTTATTTTTTCTACTTCTAAGATTGGCCATGTTCGCAAATGGCACAAGTTTAGGAAAAAAACAACAATTCTACTCGTTATTCATTCTTGAAAGTTTGCACAATGACTCAAAAGGAAGTAAGCTACTCTAAACTAAGAAACAAATAAGGTGGTGTTGACCAAGAAATTGGTATCAATGTGAATAATCTGCCCTTGAATTAAGCAAAAAAGAAAGTCCAATTCAGTGACAAATAATTCAAAGACAGGAACGGTGAAAATGTTTCTGTTATCATATTTTTAACAGCATGCCAAAGTTAAAAGAGTTATTGAACAATTTTAATTTTGCCTATATGTCTATATGAAAACTCCCGAAAACGTCTTCAAAGGCGAAGCTAGGGTTACATGAAGATAATGAACAGAATGAAAACTATACCAAAGAAATATTCTTAACTATGCATGGTCCAAGAATACGATAACAGAAACAGAATGAGATTATCGACCATTTGGAGTAATCTGCCCTTGTATTTGAAATTTTGTTTATTTCAAGGACAATAAACTTTCCATCAAGGTCAGCAATTCCTTATTTTTCTGCATTTCATCTAGCTGTGATTGTGCAAAATTAAAAATAATTGGTAATCAGTAGTTTATGTTTGTTTTTATTTACTTAAATCTGTGCCAAGTCTATGAAAAGTCGTCTATTTTTAAAGAATTTTCATTCTCCATACTCAAACTGAATGAAGGTTATACAAATCAGGTGTGTAAGACTTTATGTAAAATATTTCTATCTTAAAAAAAACACCGGAAAATAATAATAAAAAAGAA